CGAAACGCCGCATTCTTCGTCGAGAAAGCCGCCGGCGTCGATTCGAGCCCGGGAACCGGGGAAAATGGTGGAGAGAACTGAGAGTGGGGAGCAGAGGCGTGTTAGGTTTCCCAATGGGGCTGATTTTGCTCATGAAGAAGAGGGGACTAGTTGTAGCTGTGATGAAGACGAGGACGAAGAAGAGTGTCATGATAAAAACAGGCCCTTTTTATCAAAAGGGTGCGGTTTGATCCCCAAGTTTTGTTTGTTGAATCCTATTCCAGGGATGAAAGTTTCGGGCCAGAGGTTGCGTCCGGATTCTGTGAGGAGGGTTCGTGGTGCAGGAGCTGAGGAAGAGGTGAGATCGCGGACGCTTTTGTATTTTCTATGCAATTTTCCATGAATTGTACTGAATTTATCCTGCTAAGTGATCTTTCTCAAATGTGTTAATAATCAATGTGTCCTGACTGAAATTCCTTATATACGACTTATACCCACAGTTATTATCTGGAAAACTTCTTATATACGACTTATACACATGTTGTTATTTGGAAAATTAATATGCTGCACGTCGTGTGTCAAGGGTTTGTTTTGCGTGTGGAATCCTCCTGGGTCGGGCCAGAGGTTGTCACAGAATTCTGTTAGGAAGGTTGGTGGTGCGCAAGTTAAGAAAATGGAGCACGGATCTCTTGTGAAAGCTGAGGAAGAGGTGAGATTAGAGACAATTCCTTCTGCCTAAGTTATATGTCTCATATTTGGTCATAATCAGTGTCTTCACTAAAATATCTTATATACAAACTATGCATATTTTATTTGGAATGTTAACATGCTGCCAGTATTTGGCACTAATGCTAAGCAATTGCCTGGGCGATTCTACATCTTTTAGTCAATCACATTAATGATTTTGCATTCTTAATATTTTTTTTTGTACTTAGAAAACAAATCGAATGTGGGTACCTTGCTGTAGGTAAAGGAAGGAATGAAATTAACAATCTGTTCTTCAGCAATCACAATTGTCTATGATTGAGTTGATTGTTTGGTTGTTTTATTTTACCTGTTGGGCAGTATTCCTGGGAAGCAATATACAAGCACAAATTGTTAAATGGAAATACTCCTGCTCAGGAGGAGGATATCAGTAAGCTAGCTGAATCCAACCATCATACCTATTTGAGTGATTCATTGACCACTGATCAATCATCTCCACAGTATTATTCCAATACCAGTGCTGTAACTCCTTATCGAAATGAACCATCCCAATCCCCATTCCATGAAGGGAAGGGTTTCCTTGGAATCCCAAGGAGCCCAAGGAGAGACAATAAGGGTTCTAGAACTGATGATTATGACTCCTTTGAGAAAGACAGTGAGAACTGTTGGGTAATGACTCCACACTATACTGGCCAAAGTAGATCAGGCTCCTCGAGTCCTGCAGTTGAGAGAACTCTTCGTGTTGATACTGTACATAGGCCAGAGACCTCAATTTCAAAGTTGAGCTTGCAAGGTACCTCTTTGGATGACAAGGACTTAATCCGATCAGCTGATAACGATTCTGCAATCGGAGTACAAACTCCGGGATTTGGTGAAAGTCTTGTTTTAGAAAGTCATGATGAGGATGCCTTGCAATCTAAAATCACTGAGATTAGACTAACAGTTTCTCCAGAAAATTCTGTTTGTGGCGCAAAGGAAGAGAATAGTGGCTTGAAACCTAGTGATAAGGATTATATCGGAATACTTTTAAAAGAAAACAATCAAGTGAAGAATGATGCTGATTCTATGTCGTCACTCCTTCCTCCGCCATTGCCTAATACACCTTCTGAGTCATGGCTTAAGCGCGCTTTGCCTTCTGTATCCTCCATGAAACCATCTGCAAAGTCTTTCTTAGATATTCATGTTCAGGCAAGGAAACAAGTACGTATTTCATCCCTGACTGTTCCTAAGAAGGATTTTCATATCAAACATCCCAAAGTGCAGCGTGGCCAGATACGGTTTGCAGATGTAATTTCTTTAAACTCTCATGACATCATCGTTTCTAATAGGTTTATATGATATTTGGAAGCTGCATAAAAAATTTCTTTTCTACATTCGCAGATGCTAGCGGAGCCATTATCCCCGCAAGCTGAGATTTGAGATGTCTGCAGGTTATTTTCACTAATTGAGCACGCTGACATCCTCCCTTACACTTTTTTTTTATCACTGTAAGTGTAAATCTGTGAGAGTTATGTTTACAATAAAGTCATTATGGTTATGAATTCCATGATTCTGAGGTTAGGTAGCAAAAGTTTGTTCTTTGGTTTGTGTCCATAGTCTCACTTCTTACTGCCTAAGCTGTTATTTCTGCTTATGTTGTATGTAAGTTCGTCCATAATTGCACATAAAACAAGTTCAAGTTGTCAAATTTTTTACACTTCAAAGTTCAAACACAACCTTACCCTTTGCTCTTTACCATTTCCTCCATATTTCAATTGTGGATTATGTGTCAAGTTTTGTAAGTAGCTGCTGTTTATTAACTGTCATGCACAGATTTTATACCTGCTCTTAATAAAAGGTTTTGTTATTTATTAATAATAGGTTTTGAGTTGCTTTGTTGATGTTTATCTTGTTCTTTTTTATACCAACTTATTTCACCTTTCCTTAATTTGTTAAGTCCTGTTATCTTTGGCTGATAATTCTCTGTATCTTAACTTCTCAATTTCTCGGGCGTAATTGGCCTTGTTAAAAACATTTTAATCCAGTTCACTTTAATCTACAATTAGGCACGTGGCGTTGTTCTCACAAATTGTAATTGAAGTGCATGGAATAGTTGAGCCAGTCCATGATTGTTAACATATTTCTTCCTGTACTTACCTCTGTAGGAGGTCAAAAGATTTCTAATTTGCTATTGGATAATATTCAGTAAGTTTGTAGATTATGATAAAGGAAGTTGTATTGCGCAGACTGTAGAGTATTAACATGTTTTCCCCCCTATCCTCAAATGATCTGCCAAAGCACGGTTGACAAGTATTATTTGAAGAGGGAAATTATATATTCAAGTGTGTAGATAACTCGTTAACTTGGGAGATGTAGGTATAGGAAAATCTTCATGCATGTTATATTGTTAACTCACTGACTATATGGGATGACTACCATTCAGATTAACCATAAGAAATGGGCATTGCTTGAGATTATTTAGGTTACCTTGTGCTTTAGATATGGATATGATACGCTGCAAAAGTATTACCTTCCTGCTTCTCTGGTTGTCTCTTAGCTGATCTAGGTAGGGGAATTTAGAAGGTTTCTTCTTGGCTTCACGATTTTAACTGCATCTTCAGAAAACTAGGCGTATGCATCAGTTACCTGGCCTTAAAAGTTCTTTGGCAGACCAGCGGGATGTTAACTTTTTCATAATTGCTTTGCTAGAAGCCACCAACTCCTTGATTAACTCTTTAGCCTTTGTTGACCTTGATTCATACATAACCCTAGTTCTTCATACATAGCCATAGTTCTATTCCTATATGCAAACACTTTAAGACAGTGGTGGAAGGAAATAGGTATGTAGATCGCACAAACTCATATTTGTCAATCAGCATGATAAGTTGTATTCATCAGCTTCATAGCTAACAAATGTTATAAAAGAGGTATTTCCAAGATCAGCTACAAATAAGGGTGCAGTTCATTGATAGTGATTTTATTCAGGATAAGAATGTTTGTTTCTACGTCTTTTGCGGGGTTTTTTTTCTTTCTAAGTTACTATCTAGGCACTACACCCTGTCAATAATGCTAAGGTCGATCAACTAGTTAGGGTTTGATATGCTTAATATAGAACTTATCAGATCTTAATTTCATTGAACTTGGATCTTGACGTGTCTCAGTAATCCACGTTGTGAATTAATAGTATAATCAAAGCTAACTTAACACCAAGTACTTACCCTCACACGAGCCTTTTTGGCATGTGGAAAGGCCTCCTGTTAAAAGACTTACAAAAGAGAAAAACAATGCTATATAAATCAACGATAGTGAGTTTTCAACCAAGACTTGTATTTGATTCTTTGATGCCATCTCAAAAGTGTATGCTACCAAAATTTTCAAGCTTTTGGATAAAGTCATTTTCTAGAAGTGTCTTTTAAGAAGGATATAATTTGTCTTTCGATGTTCAAGACTAATACTTGAAATTACTGATTATAATGGGCCCCCATATTAGATGGATCAGGTCCCGGATCACTGAGGTGTGCATCTACCACTACTATTTCTTGTAGTGTGAGCTTTACGCTTTTAAAATGTCTGATTAAGGCTTTGCCTTTGAGAGAGACAAGGGAGAATTACTACTCAGTACTCAGAATAGACCATGTTAGAAAATGGGTAAGGTGCTATTTTCAGTTGGCTGTTGAGTATTAATAGCTTTACTTCTACTAATTAATACATTAATATGAGGTTGTATCATTTATTAATCATGGGAGAACACCACATTATAATATTTCTGTATTTTTTGGAGGCATCTTTAAATTTGGGTGCTCTGCTGTTTTTTCTGTGCTTCAACTTGTTGGGAGGAAAATGCTTTTGCTCAAGATGAAAGATAGCCGAAGTTCGATTCCCTTAAAACCATAACCAACCTTTGAACTTATTTGGTACCAATTGATTACTACCTTGAAGTATTGGGAGCCAACCCTGAACTGTAGGCGTCTAAAATTGTCTATGAGAGCCCGCACGAAACTCGAAGCAATGAATTGACGAGTCAAGAAGATTCGCCTAATCAGCTCGCGCGCGTTGCTCAGCGCACACACGCCATTCGACCCGTACACGTCGGTCAAAGGCGTGCACTTCAAACCAACTCGTGCACGTCGGTCAAATGCATGCACGTCAAACCAACTCGTGCACGTCGGTCAACGCCCGCACGTCAAATCATCTCGTGCGCATCGGTCAAATGCGTGCACGTCAACCAGCTCGTGCGCGTCGGTCAACGCGCGCACGCCAATCAGTCCGCGCGCATCGATCGTGCACGTCAACCAGCTCGTGCGCGTCGGTCAACGCGCGCACGCCAATCAGTCCGCGCGCATCGATCAAGCACGCGTATATCAACCAACGCGCGTTCGACGGTCGGTCTTGCGGCGAAGCATATAAGTCAACAAAGCAAACCAAATACACGAAGAGAACAAGTCTCGGAAGAAAGAGAACAGGAAAAGAAAAAAGTTGGAAACCTACGCGGGCGCAGGACGGAACAAACCGACCCGCGCAAGCGCGGGTCAGATCAGTTTGACCCGCTGACCCGCGCAAGCGCGGGTCGGATGCATCCGACCCGCACATGTGCGGGTCGGATGCAACCGACCCGCGCAAGTGCGGGTCGGATGTGACCGACCCGCGCAAGCGCGGGTCGGACCTGTCTGACCCGCGCCGCGCAGTCCTGATCCCGAAACGCGTTTTGACGGTTTTGAAGCTGTTTTCACGGGATTTATCTGTTCCAGGGGTTCCTAACTGACTTGATATCATTCCCAAACGTGGTTAGGCTGTTGTTAACTGAAGATAGAGCCAAATCACTTGTTCTTATCCAAATAACCGCATCCGGGGCCTATAAATACGAGCCAAAGGCCTCCATTTTCGAAGGCTGGAATTTTATCAAGAGGACGATGTGCTGCTGGATTGAAGAGTGAAGGAGCACGAAATTTCAGCGAAGGTCGACGAGATCCCGGCGAACTTCGTCACAAAGGAGAAGCCGTTCGAAGGATCCGAAGCCCGTACGTCCGTTCCTTGAGATTAGGCTTGGTCTAATCTCGAGAAGAGCCCTGATTTCACTTTGTCGATCTCAGCGCTTCAAACCAGAAAACTTCCTCGGCGAAGGCGAAGCTCTGCCGAATTTTCCTGCAACCGGATCTGATTCGCGGTCGTCCACGGATTAACCCCGGCACCGGTAAAGAACCCACGTAAGCAAGAGCCGATAAACGGATCTTGTGTTTATTTTCAAGAAAGTTACAATCTTTTATTTTTGTTATTTGAATTCATTTGTAACGACTAAAGTTTAATGAAATCAATGATGAAGGCAGCTTTCCACGAAAACAAACTGGCGACCACAGTGGGAGCCGACAGCCTTTCTGCGAAGGCTGACGTGTCGCAACCTCGGATCCAGATCCCGGTTAAAACGGAGGTCGAATATGAGTTCGACCAGCAGAAGTACGAGGAATACTTGTCCTCCTCCAGATCGGCCTCTCCTCGCAGATGCAGGAAGGCTTACTCCAGGAAGACCCGTTGGACTTCAGCTGCAGAAGCCCAAGAAGAAGATCTTCCCGCCACCGTTGCACCCGTGGCTCACAACGCCCCGCCGGCATCCGACGAGGCCAAAACTACAGTTCTGAACCCCTTGAGCAAAGGGTCAACTGTTGATGACGTGCCAACTCTATCGAAAAGAGCACGTCAGAGGCGACGCCAACGCCTCGCCCGCTAACTGGCCAAAGCCTTAGAACCAGTTGATGGAATCCGCTATGAAGCGGATCTGAAGTCCAGGAGGCGCCAACCACCACAACAGAGGGTGAACAACCCCTCCTCTTTCAAACAAGCGAAGAACGAATGGGTTCGCGTCAAAAGGACCCGATCGACTCTTCAAGAGCGGATTCAGAAACGCCGCACATTTCTTGCACATGCAAAAATTCTTGTGCAAGAGGCCAAGAAATTGGAGAAAGAAGGAGTGGAACATAAACCACAAAGACTGCAGCAAGTATGGAGGCCAAAGTCTAAAACGGCGGCCAAAAATGTCGAGAAACGTCAGTCACTCCAATCCGACCCGCGAAATCGCGGGTCACTCCAATCCGACCCGCGAAAACGCGGGTCACTCCAATCCGACCCGCGAAATCGCGGGTCACTCCAATCCGACCCGCGAAAACGCGGGTCACTCCAATCCGACCCGCGAAATCGCGGGTCACTACTCCAATCCGACCTTCCAGTCTGCGGGTCGTCCAAATCCGACCTTCCAACTTACGGGTCACCCAAGTCTGACCCGCAACAGATTCAAGGTAGAAGATGTCCTGCACCTATTTCTTCAGTTCCATCGAGTTCCGCACCTCCGGTTGAGATTCACGATAGTGTGGACTTGTCTCGTTTTAGAATAACAATGAAAGATCGCCTTGGCCCTTCACCCGATGATCGAGGCAAAGCTCCGGTCAAAGAGCGCTTAGGCCTATTGAATGAATCTCGAGCACGTTGTCAGGCTGGAGGTCGTCCTCCTAAGCAGTGGAGGAGAACGGATAACAGGAAAAGTCCTGCGAATGACCGCATTGGATTGCGTGTTGAAATCCAGGAGCCTGTTGAGGGCCGACGTTCACAAAAACGTCACCTCAAACATGCGACTCCTGAAAACGCTAACAAAGCATTGTATTCCCAGAAGAAAACGTACTCATCAGACGAAGACGTCATACCTAGGAAGTCGTGCCAACACACGATA